GCTTGTCTATTCTAGTTGTTTTCTCGAGGGACCACTATCTTAGTAGTGACGAAAAAATTCTTGTTGAGATGTGCATCCAAAATACTAACGGGTGACATCCACCGATTAGTTAACCAATGTTTTTTAGATTTTTTCGTGGATTCTTTAGCCAATGGTTAAGTCCCTGCTTTTAAATTCTTCGTTGCTATAGATAACAGTTCCAGCTCTAGTTTTTAATAGTTTTCGTGCAAGTTCAGTATTAGAGAAAACTCGAAATCCACTTGCGGATTGTGAAAACCGCGTAAATTTGCAGATTCCACCTACAAATTTTGCGGACTCTTTTTACATTCACGGATTGCATTTACATTTTAGGGAATCCACTCACAGTTGCGGAATCCAGAGGAACTAGCTATATTTGCTATTTGCGGATTCCGCGACACATATAAGCGATTTCCACGGAAACTTTGTAAGTGGAATCAACTTAATTTTCGGAACATGTTTAAAGATTTGTCTCTGGGATGCAGAAACATAGACACAAATTGTGCACCCGACCAGTGCGCGGTTCGGCCTCGGAGTGAATAAAAAGGAGAGGAGAGTTATCCTTCCTTTTAGCAATTGCTAAAAGGAAAGAAAATTATCCTTTCCAAAAACACACAAAACAAATTTACATGACAAAAGTTGATTGATTTTTAGCTTCAATAAGTGATTTTAAGTATTGAATTCACAGCTGATTACGAAACATCGAACTTTTACGAAAAAAAAAATTGTATTTTTGATATATTTTTTCAACTCATAGCGGCAGACTTTTTGAAGTTCAAAATGATGTTTACTATTTTTACAACTTAAATAACTCTCATATTTATTTTATAATGGACTATTACATTTTTTTAGGAGCCAGCTTGGGTTGAATCAGATTTATTCGATGATTTGTACACTTTTATTTTACAGCACGTATTCATTCACTTTTTGGTCATGTTAGGAATTTATTTATTTGATTTCAAAAATTCCAAATAATTTTTTTTGAATGATTTTATATTGACGTTTTTAGTATCAAACATATAAATTCTTAACATGACCCAAGATTATTAAATAAATACATGCTGTAAAATATAAGTTTACCAATCACAGAAAAAACCTGATTCATTCCAAGCTGGCTTCCAAGCTATAATAATCCATCATAAAGTAAATGAGAGAGTTCTTTAGACGTTTATCAATTAAAAACCAACAATTTTTTTTGTTAACTGGTACTTCTTCATTTAAGTATATTTACAACTCACTAAGTTCAAGTTTTTATTTTGAATTTTTTTTGTCATTCCCAAGTTTTCAGGAAAACCAATTAAGTTTTGACAAATATTCTAGCAAAAAATTCTGATGAGCAATTTTCCATAAAACTGTCCAGTACTGATTTTTTAAAAAAATTTGTTTACTGGCATTTTATGTTTTTGCATGATTTTTTTCGTGTTTTCTTCATATAAAAGAATCTTGTTTCAGTAATTAGATCAAAACTTTTCAGGCAAACAAAATTTTCTTAGGATAGTTTCTGCATAAAACATATATTTTTTTCAAAAATAGGTCACGAGATATGCTAAATTGCTTTTCGCGAAACAGATTTTTACTCCTGAGTACATTTGGCAATTCAAAAGATTTGAGTTATAACTAAACTCCTACAAACCGGTTCAAGCCTCTCGTACTGTATGGCAGGAAACAAATTTCAGCTTCGTTGAAATAATCAGCCCATGGTTATGGAGGGAACCCTGGTTCTCGAAATTGGATCAATGTCAAAAAGCACACGTCAAAAATTTAAATTCATTTGATTAAAAATATTTACAATCTACACTATATTATTACAAGTCCAATTGAGGATGATAATAGAAACGATAGCAGGGACGCCCTAGGTACTGATTTACAACATCCATTATCAACCATGAGCTGCCTTGTATACTACTTTTGAGAACGGAGCGCAAGCCAATAAAACTTTCTAAGCTAAAACCTTCAAACAGTGCCCAAAAATGACCTTTTTAGCTCGCAAATCAATGTGATTGATCTAAAACAAAGCAGGTCGACAAACTTTTCGATATTTTGGAAGCCCCTCGAGATAGGTTTTTTATTCGAATCACCAAAGTGTGAGCAGTTGTCAATAACCAATTGGATCTGAGAACCGTCGAATTTTTAAGGTGCATCTAATCGTTGCTAAAAACTCCACGATCACCGTTGAAAGAACAATTGATTTTATCACTAAAATGAACATAATCTTGACAAAAAATTCAAAGATCTTTTTGCATCAGTTTTCAATTTCCTTATAAGTTGTTCTTTTAAACATTTGAGCTCATATTACATTTTGTTCGACTAAAGACCCAGCGGTGAAAATTGATAATATGTACAATTATGTACAAGAAGGGCGCCGAGGACTCGGTCATGTTTGATGCCACGTCAAGCTTTATCTGAACTTCTGTTGTGTTTCTCTGTTGATGTGTTCCGTTCTCAAGTCGTATGTCTTGTTTATGTTCCAATCAACGACCGGCGTCGAACCACTGAAACATCAAATATATTTTTAAAGATTTTTTCATTTAAGCATTCCTCTTCAAGTGGTAGAAAATAAGTAAGCTTATATAAAAAACTTAGACTCATTCAAATAACGATTATGACGAGTGGATTGCGCTGGATTTTTTTGAAGGTATGGACAGGGGCGGATTTAGGATTTTCTCGAAAGGGGCGGATTTTCAAAAAAAAAAGTTTCAAATTTTGTCGACCTTTTTTTAGGTCGACCAATTGGATTTGTGGGCTCTCTCAAATCACAATAAAGACCCCATACCAAATTTTTGGCGCCGCAGGAAATTTTTTGAAAAAAAAAAACAGATCAAAAAGGCTTTTTAGGCACTTTTTGGAAAAATGGAAAATGTTTGACCGAAAAATCGCGTTTTTGAGGCGGGCGCTCCCCCCTCAAAATTAATATATTGGCGCCCACAATCGATATCTCAAAATAGTAGACAGGGGGACTCTTTGGGTCGGCAGGGGGTCGAATCCCTGAGGAAAAGAGTATAGCGGCAAAATGACGTTTATGGTCTCTTTATGGAAAGATTTTTTTGGCGCGCCCTCCTGCCTCAAATTTAGAGCACAAGTTCGGCTTTGGAAAAATTTTAGGATTGATAAATCGAAAATGGATGTCGAAAAATAGTTTCAAAAGGGAGAGCTTTTGGAAAAATCTGATCATCAGAATTGAAGAAGGAAAACCCTCCGGCCAGTCACGCTCCTGGCGACAGATGCATTGCCATTGACTAATCTGAAATTATTATTTAATTGAAAACCTAAAAACAATCATATTTTTATTGGCTACTTATCAGCATTAAACTAAGAATCAATTTGAACCAATTTTTTGAGATTCCTTCACTCTAAATCCGCTATTGATTAGAATCATTGAAAGTAATGCAACCACCAACCGTCTGATGTCGTCCGGTTGTACTGTGTTGTTGGAGGAGTTGCCAGCAGCCGCAATGACCTTCTTGACCAGTAAGTAGACCAGGAACCCGAGCAGGACCAGCAGCACCAGAGCCACAATAACGATGAGCAAGATCACCACTATTCCCCACGCAAACGGCAGGCCAATGAGAGTACGCTCTGCAACAAACGTAAAACATTGTAACCCGGGTCGAGATCCCGCTCAAAAACCGCTCAAGATATGAGCGGTTTGAGCGGTTTTTCAGCAAGATTTGAGCGGTTTGGGCGGTTTTTTTGGAAAAACCGCTCAAACCGCTCAAATCTTGCTTAAAAAACCGCTCAAAAACCGCTCATTTCTTGCGGTGATTTTTGAACGGTTTTTCAAGCAAGATTTGAGCGGTTTTAGAGCGGTTTTTGAGCGGTCTTATAAAGAAAACCGATTAAAACCAACAAAAAGGCCTGGAAAGGTAATGTGATCCCGGGTTGACATCCCTAAACCGAAAATGCTTATTTTAAATTTCCCCACACCAAAAAAGCTTATCATACAATTGCCTGCATCCAATGTATGGAAAAATGCTAATCATACAATTTTCATACAATTTCAAAAAACCTTATACTTAAGTCAAAAGCAGGAAAAAATGGCGTTTAGCCATAATAGACTTGCAACCTAGTTAGAAAACACTGTAAGCTTTTAATAACAAATATTTGTATGATGAACAATACATAACATAGTTCACAGGAATCTTTTGATTAAAATAGTAAAGATAACGGAAATTTTTTCGATTTTTGAAAATTCACAGAGTAAATCAGTTTGCTCAACATTGAAAAGTATTTGATACTTAATGAGAAGACATTGATAGATAAATTTTAGATCTTAATTTCAATCTATTGAGAAGCGCGCCAACACATGTCCACGGAAAATTTTAGTAGGGTTCCTCTCTCTTTAGTCTCCTATTTTTTTAACTCAGTAACAAGATAACCTGACAATTTAACCCCCTTTGAATACCGATACATTGTTTCAAACTAAGTCTTTTTTATAACAATAGATGTATTCCAAATAAGTGCACTAAATGAGGCCAGAAAACTCATTCTTAATTGACTTGATACCTATAATCACTCAAATTTGATTGCATTTCGATTAGCTAGAAAAACAAGACTGCTTGTATATCAAAGAAAAAGCCCTGAATGTTCCGACTACCCTTTATTTGGTCTCGAATGAATTTCGGTGAAAGAAAATGTTCGACAATATCGTAGACCAAGTGTGAAAAAATTAGCCATACGAAATTAATCCGACCGACTAGCTAGCCTCAATTCAATGTTGTGCGGGATAATTTACCACTCATAAGTCTTAGCCCAGAGCATAGGTAAATTGGCTATGTTCAAACTCCCAGAACCTTGAAAAAAACTAATTATCTTAATACAGTTTAATTATTAAGATATTTAATTATCTAATTACAGTTAATTATCTAAATACAGTTTGATTTAGGGAGTCGTCGTCTTCAATGGGGTATGATTTTTTGTTAAAAATTATTATTTCGATTGACGAAAATTAAACGAATAAGGAAACCAACTCCATGCATAAATTTTCCATTTTTTTGAAAGTCGGAACAATTACTTCTCATTCACGCTTTTAAATCAAAGATAGCCTGCTGGTGCTAATTGAAGGCAACAACTGAATTTTGTGAGTTTTATAAAAATAACTCTTTTACCATTACTCTTTAACCTTTGTTATACCATTCTATGAGCTATAACGTTTAAATCGCCTTTTTACTTTATCTTCCAAAGACAAACACACACTAGGGGTATCAGGTCACGATTATTATCTTAAACTCAAAAACAAAACCACTACGAATTTGAACTGCTAAAAATATCAAACTCACAAATACCGAGCAACAGCAATAATGGCCAAAGAAAAATTTATTGAAACGAGGGGTGAACATAATATAATCACTTCATTTCTACGGGAAATCTTGACTAGTTTGAAAAACGTCAAGGATCTGAGCAACATTAATACCCCAATCGTCGCAGTCACAGCCGCAATTCAGTCAGACGAAATTTATCGTAAGAGATAAGGTGACCGGTAGTTGCAGATTACGGGCATTGTCAAGTAGGACACACTTCGAATGAACTATAAATTAGTTCAAAATTACCGCGAAATGTCAGACAGAAACAATTCAGCCAATTTGAAACTGAGACATTTCGATCACAAGGCCTTCCAAACACCTCAGCCGGAAAATTTCGGCCAATTTAATGTTAAAGCGCGCGGTTTAGGTTGAGATAATTGGTTTCCACTCAGCCAATAAAAGGTTTTAACCCGAAAAACTGATTAAATCACAATCTTTAGTTTGCCGCCAATCAAGATTGTGGCAATTGAATTTGACTGAATTATTGTTCCGACTTTCGATACGAAAGTAACGGAATATCTGTGCTGGGGGTGGGTATTTTCTTCAGACAAAATTCGACTTCTTAACTAGCCATTTTTGACGGAACTTTTTTATATCATTCGAAAGATATTGTTGTCCTGAGCTTAAATTTAAAAAGATATTTCATCTGTGATCATTTTTTGTAAAGTTGTAGGCGTTTAAAGATTGTCATTTTGGCCAATTAGGGACAATTAACGCGCGATATATTTCTGTCTTAGAAACCGTTCCAAATTGGTTGAAGGAAGCTTATTTGCCATAATTGATTTGTTTCAAGGAGCGAAATCTATCCTTTTATATGGTGCGTGGGGTGAGGATTTTCATAAAAATTTCAAAATTTAGAAAAAATGTTCATTTCATTTTATTACATTTAATTTCTTTATGTTAATACTGCTGCATAAACCTTAAAAGGCAGTCGGAACGTTCAAGGCTTCGCCCTGATACGAGCAGTCTTGACTCGATTTCAAATTGGCTGAAATTTCCGGCGTAGTTTGGTTGAAAGATCTCAATGTAATTGTCGGAAACGTCTTTCTGGAAGGTCTGAATACGTTTCAGAACAGCTAGTTGTGTGACTTCAAAACTGATGGGACCAATTAAACATCCTCCCCCCCCCCCCCTAAAATAATTAAGGGGGGAGATTGTTTACTTGCAGGAGCGGATTTAGGGGGGGGGGGGGGGGGGTGGGGAGTTGCCTTTTTCTACTATTTTGAGATATCCATTTTTGGTTGACGGACCCTAAAAATTTTCTAAAGGCGCCTTTGGCGCCAATATATGCTATCTTTTAGGGGGGGGGGGGAGTTGAGTTAAAATTTTCTAAAAAGTGCCTAAAACGCTATTTTTGGCGGTTTTTCAAAAATTTTTCTGCGGCTCAGAAAGCTTGGCCAAAACAGGGTCTTCTTAGTGCTTTGAGAGAGCTCCGAAAATTATTTTGGTCAATCTAAAAAAGGTCGACAAAAATTTTGAAACGTTTTTGAAAATCTGCCCCCCTCGAGAAAATCCTAGATCCGCCCCGGCCGTTCACTTGGCTAAAAGTTTTTTTCAGTCAATCAGATTTGAGCATAGTACATGCAGATCTTCAGGCTTGAAACTGCCATTTAACGTTAGGGGGAGGCTGTTCGCTTGGTCTCCTGCAAGGAAATTTCTTGGATATTTTATTGACAATTTTGTAGACATTGAGCTGTCGTACTCAATTTTAGGTGGGAGATTGTTCACTTGGTCTCTCGCACTGAAGTCTCATGGATTATATCGGATTTTCATTGTCAGTCTCAATAAAATAACAAAAATAATCTATTATAATTGATTAAAAATTAATTATAATGATACTATTTTCTAAGCAATAAAATCCCAACATAATCGATTATGATCGATTATTTTCAACTTATTTTCAAAAAATTTTATCAAACAAAAGTAATCAATTTTAATTAAATATAATGGATTATAATCTATTTATTAAAACCTTTCGGTGTGCTATTTTCATTTTCTCATAATAATCAAGGCGGATTTAGGCGCCAAAAATTACTAACTTTGAGGGGGAGCGCGCGCCAAAAAAACGCAATTTTTTTGTCAATATTTTTCAAAAAGTGCCCAAAAACGGCTTTTTTTAACTGTTTTTTTTTTGTCAAAAATCTGCCTGCGGCACTAAAAATTTTGCCAGATTACCATCTTTTCAATGCTTTAGGAGAGCTAGGAAAATCAATTTTGTCGACTCAAAAAAAAAGTCTTCTAAATTTTTGAAATTTTTTGAAAATCCGCCGCCCCCCCCCCCCCCCCCCGAGAAAATCCTAGATCCGCCCCTGATAAAAATGTTAAACTTAAGTTAGTTATTTTGTTATCTCGCTAAATTTGATTTCATACTAAATTCAGTCGCTAAATTTGATTTCATACTAAATTCAGTCGCGTTTATGAAAATTTAAGCCCTCGTTTAAGCCCACACCACCCCCACCCCTCCCCCCACGTTTACCTGTACTACATTGTTATCTGTCCCGGTGGGGGTGTTTAGTGTTTAGTGGGGGTGCGTTAAACATGTGGGGAGGGTATTAGTTTGGATTTAAATGCGGGGAAGGATTGTTCACATGGGCCAAAGGATGATACTAACTGTTGGAGCTGTCGTACTCAAGTGTGGCTACAATTGAGGTGTATCCCTGGTAGGAGTTCGTGATCTGAACAAAGACAACTAATTTAGAGAATCAAACAGTTTGTTATAAAAAAATTTTTTTCAAGAAGTGAACATTTTGTTTATTATTTACAAAAACTATCCAAGAGAAAAAAATCGCATCTCGGAAAATATCAAAAAAACCAGTTAGCTGCCTATCGACTTCACTTAACGCTGTCAGCCTCTTCAAACTCGGTAAATGTGAAACACCATAAATCTAAAATAATGTCAAATTCTGAAATGTCAAAGATCTTGTAATTACATAACTTACACAATGCTAAAAAATTGATTTATAACCAAAATTACGAAGCTGCTTTTCATATTGACTTAGAGTTTTAGGCACAGCGCAAGTCATATGTATTTATCAAATCGTATTAATACTTCAAATGTGTAAGTTGATTTTCCGTCGAGGGCGACGAAGTCGAATGTGTTGTCGGTAGTTGTGATGACCTCTGACCCGTCCCCACTATTAGTGGTAATGAAGGGGGTCACCCGTATTTCGTACCCGTCTGAGCCCCCCTCGTGTTCCCAGGAGAGAGAGATGTCATTCTTAGACGAGGACTCGATTCGGATGGTCAACTGACCAGGAACTGAAACACAAGGAGTGATAGTTTGATATAAGTCTAAAGCGTTTACTCACATAGTATTTTCTGTCTTAAAACGCCCTTTCTGTCTTCCTGTATGTCTGTTTTCGGCTGGATAGATTCGAGCAACTCCTTCGTTCAACATGAAGTCAATACAACTCAAATCCTATTTTTTTTTAGTCTTGTAGATCTTGGAAATATCAACTATGTTTTTCCAATCAGCCAGAAAAGGGGTTTGACCAGTAAGACGGATCAAACTGCGATCTTTATTTCAAATTTTACGAGTGAATCATAATCGGCTTGTATTAAACACGAATGGGTAGTCCGCAGCATAAACTTAATTCTCATATCGGTTTAACAGCAAACGAAAGATTCTGATTGGTTGAGAGATCAAAAGCTGATAATATGAACGCAAATTATTTAACGGTCAAAGACTAAGCCGATTATCCGTGTGAGGTAGTTGGTGACACGTTGGCGCGATTACGGCGGTCTTTTTTGCTGTTTGGTTTTATGCCGATAAAACAGGAACCGGGCCTATTAGCATATATGTCGATTACCATGCCCATGTAAATAAATGTGGTTCGAATGTTTGAATTAAGCCAAAGTGGAGTTTACACTCCCCTATTAGGTCAAGTAGTCAAAATTTTTGGCTAATTTGTTTTTCGTTTGAAATCACACCCAGTTGAAGCAATTTGCGCAAGCTAATAGGCACACATGCTAACCGCTACGCCCCCGATAGAACAGTATATATTGATAAGGGGGTTAGAACAGTATAGCGATTGAGTAATGGCATGCAGGGGCGGATTAAGGGGGGGGGGGATGCCCCCCCTCTGGGATTTGACCCCCGGCCGACCCAAAGAATCCCCCCCCCCTTTGTACTATTTTGAGATATCCATTTTTGGCTGAGTGACCTTAAAATTTTTTTAATCCTGTACAAATTTTGAGAGGGGGGGGGGGGGTGCGCCGAAAAAACGCGACTCTTCGGTCGAATTTTTCCAAAAAGTACCTAAAAACGCGGCGCAGAAAATTTGTTTATATTTGGGTCTTTATAGTGGTTTGGGAAAGCTCAGAAAATCAATTTGGTCGACCTAAAAAAAAGGTCGACAAAATTTTCAAAAATTTTTTGAAAATCCGCCCCCCACGAGAAATTCCTAGATTCAAAGTAGAGCTTCAATCGGGTGACACACTATAAAAGAAAAAAAAACAATTTTTACGAAGAAGCGAAGCTGCGACTTTGCAAAAAAGCGAAATAACGGCTAGCACGAAACGGGTCAAAAATAAAGAGGAAAAAAAGGTAAAACTAATAAAAATCATGCTGTGCCGGAAACAAAACCCGACCTCAAAAATAATCTCACATCCCAGTATCTTTGCCATAACGTTCTAGCAATCTTAAAGCACTAACCACCAATAAACCAGACACAAAAATACAATTATATGAGCAAAATTAAACCAAAGATAAAGCTTTTGATGTAAGCAAGTAAGAACAAAAAATACTAGTTTGATTTTGAAAAAAAAATTCAAAATTCAAAGTAGAGCAAATTATGATTGGCCCTTTTTTTGAGAAAATTAATTAATTTTGAGAAAACTGGACTTATAAGTTCGATGTTTAGTTCGCTGGGAATACCAAAAGTTATTTCATTTTCGAATATAGAAAGCAATTATACTTTTTTTTGAACTTAACATTTTCCTTGTTTGATAGAGGCGCTTGCCTTACTTTCGACAAAAGAAATGAAGTGAAAATTAAAACAAATCATAAGTCAAACCGCGAAAAAAAAATTTTTAGCCTGAACAGTTTTTAGGTCTTTTCCTTTAAAAAAAACTATTGCGACCTACATAAGAGTCTGAACTACGTTCACCGACTCTTAAAAAAGGATAACGTAATATGACATTACGCTCTTCGCTTATTTAATAAACAAAAAATTGTGTTTTTTCGTTATCGCGTTCCGCTGCCAAACTTCTAAGCACACCCAATAGACAATATAAAAACGTTTTAACGTATTACTAAAGGTGATAGAAAACGACTGATTTTTTCAAAGCTCTTTCAATTCCATAATTTTTTACAATTGTTTATTTTTTCATTTAGTTAACCAATTAGAGAAAAAACTGGGCCTAAATGTACTTTTTATTCGATTGATAAATAAAACTTAAACACGTACAGGCTTTTTTTCCGGTTACATTCCGGATGTTTGATTGCTCCAAAAATCATCATGCCTCATTACAACTTAAAATTGATGCTTTTGTCAGTGGGGGAAAAAGAGCCCGCGTAAAGTTAAGTCTGTTCCCTGTCCCATTTTGGAAAAATCTAAAGTCCGAACCTACACGTTTTGGGGGGAGGGGCGGGGTCCTTACAAGTTTTGTCAACTTTTTAGTAAAGCCGACCAAATCGACTTTTCGAGCACCTCTAAAACACTACAAAAAGCCTATTTTATTAAACAAAATCAGCTCCGCAAGCCGTAACGAGGCCAAACTGTGCTCTGGATAGGCGCAAAATTTGAGGTCTGTAGGTCACTAAAATCCAAAGACAAGCCTTTAAACATAGTTCAAGATGTAGGTGGATTCTACTTGCAAAATTTCCCAAGGATTCCGCGCAGAAATTTTTGTAAATGTAAATGGATTCCGCAAATTTATGCGCTCCAAAATTGTAAGTGGAATCCGCAACTTGTAAGCGGATTCCGCAATTTTAAGCAAAATCCGCATAAATTTGCGGATTCCACTGACAATTTGCGCATTCCACATACATCTGCAGATTCCACGACAGCTTAAGTTTACAAAACAGATATATTATTATTTGTTTGTGGGTTTCAAAACTGTTCCGAATTCCCCAAATTTTGATGCGGATTCCACAAAATTGCCTGTTTTTGGAGCGGTATTGAGCAAAACAGTGCTTTAGCTAAATGTCCGTAGAATCCAAACAGCAAAGATCAAAGAAAAATAGCAATGTTGCGGATTCCACGACAATTCTGTTTTTAGCTTGATGCGGAATCTGCTTACAATTCACAAAGTACAAAGTTTGGCCGCGTACTGGCTGATTTTGATTCAAAAAAGCCAGAAGTTTTTTTTTGAACCTTTTTGGAAATTTTTGACCAAAAAAATTGTTCTTTTTTGGCGCGCATGGATATTAACGCCAAAGACGCTTTTATAAATGAACTAACGGTTGATAGAGCGACCAGAAATCTTAAGTCTTAAAATAGTACCAAAGGATTTGGCAACCGAAATTAAGGGCAGAGGAAGGCGGTCGGGTCGCTCCTTCCCCTTCGGAAAACTACTGCATACATAGCATATTCTGTTTAAGACCTGAACTCGAATGTGATTTCGTTTGGGCGAGTAAAAGCTATGAGTATATTAGACTGAGGAAGTGATAAAAATGCATACGTGTGTAGCAGGTGATAGGTATGGTGGGGTTGGACTGTGAGCTGAGTACCTCAATCCCACTGCTCTTGGGACACTCGTACAGTACTGTCACTACCACGTTGATCAACTTCATGTCTCCAGGCTCGAAGATACCGAGTCTAAAAAGTCATCTAGTCTGACATACATGTCATCTAGTGTCTGACATACCCTGTCAAAAATCAACTAAAACTTTTTCGAAATTAACTGATGGTAGAATTCAGTTACTCTTAAAATATTCGCGTATTTTCACGTGACAACATGTTTTTACGTGAGCAAGTCTTGAGCAAAAAGATAACAAGAGAAGCTAGATTTGTCGAAAAAAAAACACTTGAAATGAAGTAGTAGCTGTTATTGCCCTAGACCAAGCAGCAGCGTTTCATACCATTGAACATGAGCTATTCTTAGCTGTACTCGGGAAACATGTAGGTGTTACGAAATCGGCAAAAAATCTGACCTCATCGGACCACAAAAACTAAACAACGTGTCAAGATAAATGAAGCTATATCAAATCATTTCAGTCATCTCTCGCCAATTCGAATTGTGCTTCGAAAACTTGCTTAGACAGTCAAATTTATGCAGATAACATCTAATTTATACAGATGAGCGAAACTTTGACAAAACTCAATCGAATTTAAATAGCATTTGTTTATTACTTCGAAAACATGAGGTTGAGGAAAGACACAGAAAAATGGAAAACTGAAATTATTTTTATGTGAAATCCTAGAAAAAAGAAAACAAGTGAAAATCCACAACTTCTAATTAAATTGCTGGGAAGAAAATTCGACCTATAACATGTAACTGGAAAAGCAAACTCAACTGGTTTGCAAAAAGTGTTATTTTTAGCAGAGAAAGCTCTATGTCATCCACAGCTACTTGAGTTTCCCCAATCGACACCTTTTATTTGGAATGATCATTCTCTATAGACTTGATTACTGCAGCAGTTCGTACTCTGGTTTACCACAAAACCTCATCAACGACCTACAGAGAACTCGGAATGAGGCATACAAATACGTCTTAGTAAAATCAAATTTTCATATCAATATCATGTCGCCATTTTGGTTGCAAGATTAAGTAGGGCTGCCGATCCTGAAAAGCAGGGCTGCCGAGTTTAAGCCGAATACAATTACTCCTTTTTTTTTTTAACCAATGACTTCAATTTTATGTCAGCGTAAATTAAAGATTATTTCGCAAAGAGCGACAAAAATTCATCAATTAAACTGATTATTTCATAATTGTCAGATCGACCAGATAGACCAAGTTAAGATCTTCCACCCCAGCATTTAATTCGCATTAAATTTGCTAAGCGCTGCATGTAAAACGCTCGATTCTGATTGGCTGAAAATTTAGAACCAATTTAACCAAGTTTAGAAACGGTCTACCAAACAAGTTGAAACCTCCTAAAAGTATATATTTACAAGGGTTACATGTCAGTATTTAGACAACCGCGTATTCAGACTGGTCAGTATTTAGACAAATACTGTTTCAACCAATCAGAATCGAGACAAAGAAGAAATTAATAAATAATTATTATTTATTTTGGATTATTTATGTCTTTTCTCGATTCTGATTGGTTCATACAGTATTTGTCTAAATACTGACGAGTATGAATACGCGGCTGTCTAAATACTGGCTGCACTCCATTTACAAGCAATTGGGGTACTGTTCGTTAGTTTCTTCAGTGATATCTTTCCTCAAAACGAGATCATCAAAAGAAGTCTAAATTCTAGAATAGTTCGCGTTGACGATGCGAATCTTCACTAATGACAAATAATCAAACATTGTCTTTTAACCCTTTAGCACTATTGTGTTTTGGGCTCGTCGTTATTCAAAGGAATTTTTTAAATAAAAATTGCTAGCAACGCATGTCCGGGCGGATTCATTGCGACTATGTGTAGTGGAAAATTTGTTCTGTAGATCTTAGTCTTCAATCGAGCCTGAAGTTGAAGGACATAATTTGCACGCACTTAAACTGCATCATAAAAGTGGCAATTACGGTATTGATTGGCCTGCGGAGGTATCGATATGGTACCATAAAGCAGCCGAACAAGTGGTATATACGTCTGGCTGAAGCATTCGAAATCACGTTCGACAAAAACCAAAAAACATAGATTCCGACGAATCATATCAGTCGATGGCCTGCACCCTCAGTCAGAGAACATACAGCAGCAATCAGAATTGTAGTGGAAATCAGAAAATTGTAGACACCGAATTTCTTCTTTTCAAACGTTTTTTTAGTTTAAATTGAATTTGCTATAGAAGAAAATGAGGGCCCCTTTAGGCTTTGTTTTTAAACAAGTTTTTTGAAGAAATGTTGCACAGCTTAAGATCTCTTGGTTATATTGGAACAAAAACGTTTCTCGAAGGCCACTTTAGGCACTAAAAATCGAAAACGAAAAAACGAGTGATGGGTACGAACAATATGTAGGGCACTTTAGGCTGGCACGGGAGCTTCGGGAAATTAACCATGGTTCAGTTCGACACCTTCAAGTCAAAAGAGGATGGAAAATTGCTGATCGACTGTATGGTTGATGGAAATTAGTTTACGGGACAGAAAAATCTACTATTGAAAAAAACTACTTGTAATGTTGTTTGTAGAAGATATTCGTTCCAAATGGTGTCAGACCAACTCACCTGTGGTCGAGTTTGTCCACATTGGAGAGGGAGAGAGTGAAGTCCCCTGTGATGTCAATGTCGAAGTTGAAGCTGGTCGCGCTTGAGTTCCAAGCCAGACGAGAGAAGAGGGAAGTGTCATTCGCTGGCTCACAGGTCAAGTCTGCAGCTGTGAGAGCTGATGGATCTAGTGAAAATTTGTCTTTTGTTGCGAGTTGTCGAGGAACCGGGATTTAATGGACTACCATGTCCCCATTTTCCATAGGAGATTTTGTTATTTGGGGTTCATAATTACCATATGACTAATCAGATCCCAACCCGAGTCGAGATTTTTCACCTAATTTGAAGCAAGATTTGAGCGGTTTGAGCGGTTTTTTTAGACAATTAAGATAACATGCATGCCATTACTCAAGTGTTGAAAAACACTATAGAATATAGTCAAAAACATGAATGTTATGAGCATGAAGCTCATGTCTATTTTTATCTAACCACCACAAAATTTCTCTAATTGAAGCATTTAAGTCTTTTTTGTAATACTTTAGTCTATTAGGTTCTTTTTTAAATTTGACTACCATATGACTACCCGAATAGTGACAGCTTAACAGGCAAACCAAGCCCCACCCCAGGCCAACTTTTAAAGATTTGTCAGTATCTAATCAGTTTCTATACATAAAAGTTTAGTGTCTATAATTATGGGCCTAAAATAGAATAACAGACTCAGGTAAATTTTAAAAAAAGCGAGCAAACGCTAGCTTACTTGTGCACAGAACGAACACATTTGACCATTCACTTTCGTCAGTGCCTCGTTTAGCCGATATCTGGTACTCATAAGCAGTGCCCTCATTCAGTCCAGAGTCCGTTTGGGATCCGGACCCTGGTGCTGTCAAGTTGTGCACGGAGACTCCATCTCGGTAGATTTGGATCTCGGCATTCGTCGGACATGAGAAGGCCTCATTCGGGTCGGTCCACACGACACTGATTGCCGAGTCGGAAACTGCGTCCGAAGTGGTCATTATCACCGGAATTCGAGGTTCTGGATTGTAATGAAATTTAACGGTAAAAGGATTCTAAAAGCAGACCAGCCAGAAAAAAAATATTCAATTTTTAAGCGAGCAAAAACGAAATAATTCTTTTCGAGTTATCAAATTTTTTAGCCCTGCACATTGACCTTCTTACCAAATGACTAGAGAAATTATCACAGCCAAAAATTGAACTAAAGTCATCATCAATTTTTGAGACGAACTTTGAAAACCACACTGCAAGTAGATGGTTTCATAAGACAATCATTGCAACTCGAGTCTGCCAAAGTCATAGCGAGTAAACATAATTCAAACAATCTCAACTCATTTCAAGTTCTGATACTTTTTACCCAAGTTGTTCTTACCCAAGTAGTGAGTAAGCGACTGGGAGTTTTCAGACAGCATGTCATCATTAGTGAGTCCACAATCCCCTAAAGAGTAGATTTCAAATGTCCACTGGGTGCACCAGTCCAGACCAGTCAGAGTCTGGTTCTGGAGGGTGGTGAAGGTGAAAGAAGTGCCCCCATCAAGAGTGTAGTTGTAGCCCAGCCAGAAGTCACCCGGGGGTTCGTCCCAGTTCAGTTTGACAGAGTTCACGTTGACTACGTCCGTTTTGTTCAATGATGTAATATCCATAGGGACTGCAAGCAAAGAAGCAACGTTTAGACTCGCAAAGCATTCAAAATATGCAATCAAAAAGTCTAAGTTTTCAGAAATTACGTCTGAATATCAAACTGCAAAACGTAGCGTTAGACAAGATGTTTGGGACTTGGAAAAGGGTACCTGAAAATGGTTCAAAATCGTAGATCTGCCCCTTAATAGAAAGCGTCAACAGTCTAATAAAAAATTAACTTCAGCATCCCAGATTTTCTGTATTAACAAAATACACTCCTAGACTTCACCAAACTATGACGCATCGCAGCCTGAAATGATTTGAGACAGATGCCATTGCAGGGATTGCAACTTACGAGTACATCCCTCTGTCGCCTCTGACACCAAGCTCTGCAAGACAACTCCAGGCGTCGGATTCGCTTCAGCATACACAGTGTAGTTATACGCAGTTCCAGGTGTCCTCGTCAGGTCATTTTGAGTAGTGGCACTGGATTCAGTCAGCATGACCTGGAAGTCGCGCTCGACAAAGAACTCCAACGTCGGTTCCACGTCCGGAGTTGAGTAGGTGATATCGATTTCTTCGTCTGGATTTCCTGGCGACTGGGTAATGACTGTGAAAGTTGGAATGGTGGGGCCTGTAAAAATGTTTCTTATCTAATTAAACGATTCAATTTTGCCAGCATTTGTCAATGGATGCCAAAACTCTGCACAGAAACTCCCACATGTTCTGGGCAAAAAAAAACATAAGTATTTCTCAACTGAATTTGAAACATAGCCCACAGAGCGCTAAGAGAGAGTCAATGACCGGTAGTAAACAGAAAAAAATATATACTGACTTGTTTTTTGAAGCCTAAAAATTCGAATTTCAAAGAAGCAAATATAGCCAACAGGCAGTTGGAAAAGAGTCAATGAACGCAAGTAAACAAAAAGGTACTGACTTGTTTTTTGAAAAAAAATATACATAAATTTTCGAATTTCTAAGAAAAATATAAATGGCCTTATAGCTTTTCAAACTTTTGGACTAATTTGTTATTGAACTTTTTTGATTGAATTAACCGAATAAGATCAATAGTAATTTTTTTGTTCCGCTGGAAAACATGAAAAGTAAAATTATTTTCGATACTAGAAGTCGATCAAATTTTTCGTGCCTTTTACACTTTCGCGGGTCGGTTTTGACCTTTTTTAACAAAAGAATTGAACTAAACTTCAATAGTCAAACCGCAAAAAAAAGTAAATTTGAGCCCGAAGAAAATTGAAGACTTTTCCTGAAGAAAAAACGAAGATAAAAATCATCACGACCTATATAAGAGTCTGACTATGAACTATGAAATTCTGATTTGGGTTTTTGAAAATTCTCAGTTTTTGAATTTCAAAGAACAAGTAAATGCCCATGAAGCTCTTTGAATTTCTAGAACAATTTTTGCATTACGAGGCCAAGCTGTGCACTGGATAGGCGCACAATTTTGTGTCTGTATGTTACTGGATTCCAAAGACAAGTCTTTAAATATGTTCCAAAAAGTATTTGGATTCCACTTATAAGATTTCAGTTGATTCCGCAGTACAAATACCTCTAACGTAAATTTTGGCGGCACATTGATTTTGTTGCGGATTCCGCAACGAGAGAATATAGGTAGTTGTTCCGGATTCCGCAAAGGTAAGCGAATTCCGCAAATGTAAGTGGATTCCGCAAATTTATGCGGATTCCGCTTACAATTTGCGGATTCCGCCTACAGTTTGCGGAATCCGCTTACAATTTCCGGATTCCACACATTTTGTTGCGGCTTCCGCGAAGCTGCCTGTTTTTGGAGCAATTTTGAGCAAAAACAGTGTTTTAGCTATTTGTCTGTGGAATCCAAAACAGCAGAGAAGATAAAAAAAAAATAACAAAGTTGCGGATTCCGCGACAAATCTAACTTTTGCCTGTTGCGGAATCTGCTTACAATTCTCAAAACGCACAGTTTAGCCTCGTAATGTGATTGGCAGTTTTTTTGATAAAGTTAACCCAATTTGAGGAAACTGGATCAATAGGTAATTTTTTTATTTCGATGCGAAATTTACAAATAAATTCCATTTTCGAAACTAGAAGTCCATCACGTTTTTTGTGACCTGCACACTTTTGCTGTTTGATAGTAGAGGTTGCCTTGCTTTTAACAATGAAAATGCCTGAAAAAATTAAGCAATCAAAATTCTAACCGCGAAAAAGTAAATTTGAGCCTGAACAAAATTCGAGACATTTTCTGGAGAAAAAAACAAATCATCGCAATCGCGTCCTACATAAAATTCTTAACTACGTTCATCAACTCTTAAAATTATCGCCTTTAATTTTTTGAATTTAAAAATCAATTTTGACTCCTTTTTGATAAAACATAACCCAATTTCAGAAACTTGGGTCACTGAGTGAACTTTATTCCTCTGGGAAATCTGGAGGTTAAACTCTCCTTCGAAGCTAGAAGTAGATCAAGTTTTTTGCGAACTTTATATGAACTTTAAAAATTTGATGGTTCACAGTGGAGTTTTCCTTGTTTTCAACAAAGGAAATGAAGTGAACGTAAAAAGAAAATGAAAACCAAGCAGCAAAACAAATCAAATTTGAGCGTGAACAAATTTTCAGACTTTTTCCCGAAAAAAAAACAAAAAATCACCAAGAGCTATACAAGAGTAATTATGTTCATGACTCATAACTAAAAAAATTTTTAACATAGCATTTTAAACACTAGAGCATATAGGAAGTTGAAATTCCATAGCTATGATTTGTCTTTTAAGATTTCTATCAAACTGTTGTTAATGTTTATAAAAATGACTCCTCACGTGTCCATCCAGTGATGATCAATGGGGCCGAGTCCAGCACAGTCGTGTCAGCATCTGCCAGGTGGAATCTTCGGTCGGGACACACCAACCGAGACAACACGTAGAGGTCGTGGCTCTCAATCGAGTTGAACCCGTTGAACACGTGCTCCACAATATCATAATCCTAGAAGAAACAAAACAGGTCGCTTCCTTGGTTCAAAGCAGGGGCGGATTTTCAAAAAAATTTCAAAAATTTTGTCGACCTTTTTTTTACGTCGACCAAATTGATTTTCCGAGCTATACCAAAGCACTACAAAGACCCTGTTTTGGCCAAATTTTCTTCGCCGCAGGCAAAGTTTTGAAAAAACAGGTCAAAAAAGGCGTTTTTAGGCACTTTTGGAAAATTTTGACCAAAAATTGCGTTTTTTCGGCGCGCGCTCTACCTCAAAACTAATAGTATATATTGGCACCAAAGGCGCCTTTAGAAAAATTTTATGGTCCGTCACCAAAAATGGATATCCCAAAATAGTACAAAGGTCGGACCCTTTGGATCGGCAGGGGGCCGAATCCCTGAGGGGAGGTAGAAAGCGTCCCCCCCCCCACCCAAATCCGCCCCTGGTTCGAAGCAATTTGAAATTGACTTTGGCTTATTTCAGAGTTCTTTAACGTTAATTTCAAGGGTGGATATAGGATTTCTCGAGGGGGGGGGCAACTGTTTTGAACTTATGCTCAAAACAGTTGCCAAAGAAGGACCCTTTGAACTTTCAGGATGTCCCACTAAAATCCGTAACTGCAGCCATTTGAAATAACCCACAAAACAGTTTGTAAAATTGCCAGAACTCCTCATCCTTGCAAAAATCAGAACGACACTATTGAGTTAGGACCGATGTGGTTAACTCATAGAGTAATTTCGGATAGGGTACACCGTCTGCTCGTCTGCTCGTCACCGTCTGCTCGTCATCTTATTTTCGGCCGGATAGATTCGTGCAACTTCTTAGTCTAATACCGATCCTAATCTTACTCTTATACTTTCTAGTCTCAGGGTGTTTAACTAGTCTCTGCTAGGCTCAATAGATCTAGGGTATACTGGTTTGTTGCGGCTACTGAAGTTCTCTTGGAGAGGCAACTCATAGAGTAATTTCGGATAGGGTACACCGTCTGCTCGTCTGCTCGTCACCGTCTGCTCGTCATCTTATTTTCGGCCGGATAGATTCGTGCAACTTCTTAGTCTAATACCGATCCTAATCTTACTCTTATACTTTCTAGTCTCAGGGTGTTTAACTAATCTCTGCTAGGCTCAATAGATCTAGGGTATACTGGTTTGTTGCGGCTACTGAAGTTCTCTTGGAGAGGCAACTAATTTCTAAGTTAAATTCAAATCTCTCTGGTGCTGAAATTACAAGTAATTTCAGCACTTACAAATAAGTGGGTTGTTAGTTAGATGGATCATGATTGGTTAATATTAAATACTTTACAGTGGTAAAATATCTAATTTATCCAATCATAAAATGTAGTTTGGATCAGGTTCCACCCATCCGGGTTTTACAGAGTTTTTTAGAATTATCTTTCTGCAATTCAAAGGATGGATGATGAACGTTGGTATTGGGCGAACATCGTATTCTTGTCCGGTTCCTCTTGTTAGAGAAGCTCCAGGACGCTGGAGTTTGGGGCATTAATCGTTGTGTCTTCTTGTGACAACGACTGTGTTTCCCAACGAAATCAATCTGATTTCAAAATGGTTTGCTATGACGGGTTTTTCTGTATTATGTAGAGAACTTGTTTTGTGTTCAACCTCGTCTGGAAATGGCGTGGAGATTGTGCGTGGAGAGGATGCCTTGTAACTCGGATCTGTACGTATACTTGAACATCGAGGTGGTCATTGGTCTAGTTCAATGAAGTCCTTTTCTGCGAAGTCAAGTCGTACTCTAAATCCTTTGAGTTGTGATTGTGGACGGCAAATCGGTTGTGGTTAGCCATACTTGTTCGAGTGTAGTGGAGTCATTTTGTCTTTGGATGTTCGTCTTTGTTGTTGTGTGCTGATCTATATACTGCAAGGTATAATTTACATTGTATAAAATTTTTATTAGTTCAGTTTTTTAATTATGAATTTAGTTAGTTGTTTTCACAAAATCATTTTGTTTTAGTTCGGTTATTTTGAAGAGTTATTCACCCTTGAGTACCTCTTATTAAAAATAGAAGTGTGGTCACAAAGCGTGGATGTAGCACGGTGGGTTAGGCCGGCTATAGAGCATGCTCAGGACGTCCTCTCTGGTGGGTTAGGCCAGGAATGGGAGTATGATTTCGTGCGGTTTCTTTGAGAGGTCCTGTTATGTGATAACGTTTTATGTTGGTTTTATGTTGGTCTTTCTTATGTTCCTTTGGTTGTGTCCTTTTTTCAAAAATCAAATTGTTTTTGTTATGGGTTTGTCTTTCGACTTTTTTGAGTTTTATTATTTCTTTCTTAGACTTTATAATAGTCTTCAAAAGAATAAATTATCCAGTTTTAAACTGGGTTAATCCGGTTTGGGTACCGTTGGTTTTCTTTTCTTAGTCATGCTGTTATTTTTTGATTTGTGGTTTTTAGTAAGCTGCGTTGGTTAGTTTGTTTTAGTATATAATTCCTTTCCAACCGGGTTAAAGGAAAGTTTGAAACTTGTTATCGTGTGTTAGAGTTGTTGAGTGTGAAAACTTGAAACTGAAATTCATTATTTAAACAATTCTTCGTGGGCGAGCTGTGCGAGTTTGGATATAATTCTTGTGCGAGTGAATGAAAATATTAAAAGGTTAATACTGCATTTTCATTTTATCAATTTATTACATAGAATTTCAATTTTACTGCTAGTTTTTAGGGAAACTTAAAGTTATAAATTTTCATCATATTTAAATTTACTGCTTTATGGGGGAATAATTTATAAATTAATTTACTACATATGGTATAAATTTTATTACATTATTTAGTGCAAGAAATTAATGAATTTTAAGAGAATTTAACAAGTTTGTATTTTTCTTTTTCTTTTCTGTTTTGCAGGTGATCGTGGTGTGAAGACTAGAAATATAAATGAAACATTAATAAACTATGGTTAGTACTAATTTAAATTTATTAGTGAAGAGTATTTTAAATAATTTTTACCTGTTAATCGTCTGGGAAAAAACCGTGGGGGAAGATGTCGTGTATCATGTCGGAATTTGTTAGTAACTTTGCTAGTATGCGAATGATGTTTTTAGTTTGAAGCAGTGGCCAAAGCAATTGAAGTGCTTTAATAGTTTTTAGTTCTTCGTTGCCGACTGCAAACTCATAAGGTGTGCTTTGAATGAGATTATATATTTTGTCATTGTATTTAGTATTATGAATAAATTCTAATATAGGGATTTCTATAGGTTGGATAAATTCATGTGGGATAAGGAAGGGTCTGGATTCTTCAGCATTAAAGGTCTTCGTGATGGGACAAAATATATACATTTGTGTTATTGGGTCATAATTGCGGAGGATGCCGTGGAGGTTAGTATCTTTGATGCAATAGGTGAAATTTAGAAAAAATGGTGAAGTGTACTTCGAGTTAAGAAACTGAAAACGATGGTGTGGTTGTCTTGATGGAGTATGTAGATCAAAATGATTTTGTATGAAGCGATAATATGTATATGTGTGAGTTTGTTTAGTGCGTAACATAATGTCATGTGAACAGTGCAAATCGCGTTCATGTGGTGCAAGGAAGTGAAAGGTTAGTGAAAATAATTGAAATTTTTCTTTAAAACTTTCGTAAGCTTGCATATCAGTTAGTGCTTCAGAAATGATGTGGTCATATTTTCTATCAAAAATATTGAGTGTGAATACGTATGATGTTTTGATGAAGAATTTTTCTGTTAGTTGTGGGTTAGCGAAGCGGTCGTCATCTAAAAATTGGTCTTGATTAGTTCGGATGATATTATGGTCGTAATATTCTAGTGTAAATTCGTTAGCTCGGGGTGCAGTGAATGTTTTTAGTGATTTTTTATATCCTATATAAGTAAATTGTCTAGGTGTTAGTGTTGCGGTGAGTCTATATAGCATATCTTTATTCTTCTCTATATCGCTATGAGTATTAGATAGTGGCAGGCAAAGGGGATTAGTAAAATGATAATATGTTGTCCAATGAAGTGTAGGCATTAAAACATGTTCATCTACAAAACTACGTGTGTCGTTAGTGTCGTTAGGTGTGTTTAAAGTATATTGTGGAAATGAAGGTAAGGTGATTGCTAGAAAATCTTTCGTGTTGGTGTGGTGTGGATGATTAATGTATTCGCGGGCTGTTCCTGGTTTAGTCGGGAATGGATGGTTTGGGATTTTTCTTTTAAAAGTGCGATAAGCTCGGTTAGTGCTAGTTAATGATTCGGTGGATGTTGATGATTGTGCTAATGATGCAGTATAGGCTGAGGAGGGTGTAGGAGTAGGTGGGTTTGAGGATTCTATTGTGGATGAAATTTGGTTGATTGTGAGGGTGTTAGTGTGTATTAGCTGTTGTTGTTGGGTGATAAAATTATCAAGTTCTTGGGAGATTTGGGGAGTATCGGGAGAATTAGATGATCGGTCGGAATGAAATGGAGAATAGGTTGGGGTTACTTGTGAAGCATAAGAGGGAGTAGAAATGGTCGGGAGTGGATTATTTGGTGGGATTGGTTGAAAAGGGGGCTTTGAAAAAACTGAGGAGTTGGTTTGAAAATTATTGTATGGAGATGGTTCGGAGTCTGCAAATTCGTCAGGGGTTTCTATATTAGGGTTGTTGAGTTGTGAAATGGAGTATAAAACTGAAATATCTGAATTAGTATCCGAATTCATGCTTGATGTTATATTACTAGTTGGAAAATCGGGTGGCGGGAAAGCAAAAAGTGGGATTATTGTGATTGGAGTGTTGAGGTTGGTTGGATGGGAATTTGAGCGGTGTAGGGATCCAAGTTGTCGGCTCATTGTGGGCTAAAAAAATTATTATTTTGAGACTGAAAAGCGGTGGTATGGGGTTGTTCTATAATTTGTTCATATGTATTATCATCTTGTGAATGATGTGTCATTATATGTTGTATGGGACTTTGCGATATGTTTGGTCTAAAATTTGGGTTATGTGTTATTGCTAGGTTTCGGAAATTACGTGGGACTAAGGATAATGGATGGTTATGTGGTAGGGGTGGCAGCTGTGGTGCTGTAGGCGTTCG